GAGAGAGAGAGAGAGAGAGAGAGAGAGAGAGAGAGAGAGAGAGAGAGAGAGAGTTACTAGAGGTCTGACGACAGAGGCACTCGTTTTTTTGGTTGGCACGTATGACGGTTAAGGAAAAAGGATTTTCAGCGAATGTGATTGTCAAGTTCGTTTTGCGATAAATAGAGACCGTGTCATTTATTTAATTTAATTTAATAGTATTTTATGGTTGGAAAGAGAGGAGAACGATTTTTGAACGTTGCTGTTCCTGCCAACGATGTTATCATTTTGCTTGCCTCGAGATTGCAGGGAGGTGACGTTGAGGAGGAGAGGGGGGAGAAGAGAGGAGGGAGAGGAGAGGAGAGGAGGACACTGGGAGAGGAGGTGAAGTAGGAGGGAGAGGAGGAGTCTGCAGAGGAGGAGAGGAGAGGAGGCCGCGGAGGAGGAGAGAGGGGAAGAGGAGGCTGCAGAGGAGAGGAGGTGGCGGAGGAGGAGAAGATGGGGAGGGAGGGGAGGAGGCGATGAAGGAGGAGAAGAGGGGCAGAGAGGAGAGGAGGATAACTGGAGGATGGAAAGACGATAGACGGGGGACAAGGCAACCGTCGGTGGAATAACGAGGGTCCATTGGAGCTATCTTCAGAAGCTTCCCAAACGTATTTTGCAACTTGTTGGGACCATCTTAACAAGTCCTAGGGGCTGTCTTTACTCGCAAGACACCCTTCCCTGGAAGATGATGAACTGCCTCTCGCGCCGATGCGCGTCGAGGAGGAGAAAGAGGCGGCGAGAGGAGGAGAAAGAGGCGGCGAGAGGAGGAGAAGGATGGGAAGAGAGGAGGAGAAGGATAGGAAGAGAGGAGGTTGGGAGGACGGGGAGAGAGGAAGAGAAGGTGAGGAGAGGAAATGAGGAGAGGAGGAAGATTAGAATGGAGGAGGAGAAAGAGAGGAGAGGAGAACCATAGGAAAAGGAGGGAGGAATCACCATAACCTCTTCTTCCTTCTTCTCTCTTTTGCCATGTCAGCATCCCTTTTCACTCCTCTCCTTTCTCGTCATTATAATTAATTATCCCACCTTCGTTCCATCGGCATTATCGTCTTATTCCGTTTGCTCCTCCTCCTCCTCAATTGACCTCTCCCCTCCGCTCCCCTATCTCCTTTTCCTTCTCCTCCTCGTCCTTTTCCTCCATTGATCTCTCTCCTTCTTGCTCTCGACACCTCGGCTCATGTCTCCTTCTCCTCCTCCTTCTCCTCCTCCTCCTCCTCGTCCTTCTACACCATTGACTTCTTTCCCTCTTGCTCGCGGCAACTCCTCCTCCTCCTCCCCTCTCTCCTTCTCCTGCTCCTCCTCCTCCTCCTCCTCTGTCTCCTTCTCCTCCTCCTCCTCTGTCTCCTTCTCCTCCTCCTCCATTGACCTCTCTCCTTCTTGCTTGACCTCTCCACTTCCCCCCCTCCTCTTGTTCTCGTCGTCCTTCTCATCGTCTAAAACGCCATGGCTATCACCATCGCCGATTGACCCTTCACCTCCTCTGTCTCCCCTTGCTTCCATGTTGTCTTCGTCTTCGTCGCCGCGGGGTTAACGGATTTAATACCTAAACAAGAAGGTAATGAATAAACAAAGATGTCCTTCTCCTCCTCCCCTTCCTCGTAATTCACCCCACACTCAGAGAAGGAAGTCGTTATTGTCTTCTTCGCGATGTGTGCATCTCTCCCTCTCCCTCTTCCACTCTCTTCCTCGCTCTCTCTTTCTTTCTCTCTCTCTCTTTCTCCCGTTCTCTCTTCTTCTCTCTCTCTTTCTCTCTCTCTCTCTTTCCCTCTTTCTCCCGTTCTCTCTTTCTCTCTTTCTCTTCATTAACCCTCGAACCTCTCTCGTCGCTTCGCGATGAGTGCATCCCCCCCTCTCTCTCCTTCTCTCTCTCTCTCTCTTTCTCGCTCTTTCTCTCTTTCTCTCTTTCTCTCTTTCTCTCTTTCTCTTTCTCTCTTCCTCTTTTCTCTCTTTCTCTCTTCCTCTCTCTTTCTCTGTCTTTCTCTTTCTTCCCTGAGACTCCAATCACCCCAGACTCAAAGAAAGACGTCGTTATCACCCCATACTCAAAGAAAGACGTCGTTATTAACTTCGGTAACCCTCTAACCCTCTCTCTCCTCTCTTCGCGAATGTGTGCGTCTCTTTCACTCCCCCCCCCCCCCTCCTCTCATACCGAAGGGTGTCATCGTTTCCAAGCAGCTCGATCGGTTGTGTGTGTGTGAGAGAGAGAGAGAGAGTTTTTAGCTAATGGAAAAAATAAAATTAAAATGTAGCAGCAGTTTTAATATTACCGAAGGATTTGAAAAAAAGGAAAACATGTAGCAGCGCCTCCTGATCGTATTTCTCCCGATATAAAAGAAAAGATAGGCAATCTTTCTTTTCAACCTTATAGTCGTCGAGAGAGAGAGAGAGAGAGAGAGAGAGAGAGAGAGAGAGAGAGAGAGAGAGAGAGAGAGAGCTGTCTCTTATACACATCTAGATGTGTATAAGAGACAGGTGTGAGAGAGAGAGAGAGAGAGAGGGGGGGGGGTATCGTTGGGTATTTTATTTTCTGATGTGGAGTTTTGAGACTCTCTTCTTAAACTTGTTGTTTTAAAGAAAGTGAGAAAGAGAAATTTACGACTATACATGGGAGATAATATCCCACGACAAATCAGATAAAGCGATGAATAATAATATACAGTAATGGATATATCAGAAATAATATCTCAGAATAAATCAGAGATGACAATGGATAAATCCATGAACCAGGAAATCAATTTGGCAAGCAATTATCCACTGACTGTCGTTCCAAAGCCATTTTCCCTCCAAAGCCATTTTCCCCGCCAAAGCCATTTTCCCCGCCAAAGCCATTTTCCCCGCCAAAAACCATTTTCCCCGCCAAAAACCATTTTCCCGCCAAAGCCATTTTCCCCGCCAAAGCCATTTTCACGCCAAGGACATGTTCGATTGTCTGATTCTATTTGTTCTTTTGTCGTTTTGCTCTCCACAGGTCTAATGCTCGGGTTTTTGCATATGCCGTTAAAACGTTGGCCAGCTGTGCGCACGTGTGGCTGTTGCGAAAACGTGGACTTATCCGTGGTGGATTTCAATCCGTGGTGGATTTCAATGCTCGGGCTTTGCGCGGGGAAAAGCAGAACTAGGGTTTTGCATCGTACGGCGTCGCTGTCGTGCACACGTTGAGGAGCCATCAAATCAGACCTGTGAGAATTGCTGCCGCTCTGGCTATACGCAGGACGAACCAAGAGAGAGAGAGAGAGAGAGAGAGAGAGAGAGAGAGAGAGAGAGAGAGAGAGAGAGAGAGAGAGAGCGCTGGCTATACGTAGGACGAACCAATAGAGTGTGTGTGTGTGTGTGTGAGAGAGAGAGAGAGAGAGAGAGAGAGAGAGAGAGAGAGAGAAACCATTTCTTCAGACTGTTTTTGCGCACGAGGGTTTGTGTAGACAGGAGAGGGTATCGAGCCGTTGATCTCAGGTTTGAAACGGTGAATCTCAATCTGCATAGTAAATTGATATTGGATGTCGCAGCCGCGTGTAACAGTCACTTTCGCTCCTAACGGACAGGTGTGTTTTCTCGGTCACCCTTTTCCTTCCTATAATCCCCCCTCTCCTCTCTCTCTCTCTTCTCTCTCTCTCTCTTCTCCGCTTTCTCCTTTTTCGTCTTATGCTCTTACGAGTCCTTGTGCTCTTTTGGCTTGTGCTTATTCTCGGCCTGTCCCTCCCCTGGTCTTCATGTGTCAATTTGTCCCTCCACGTCTCACCCTGCTAGCCATTGATAATCCTTCCTCCCTCCTTTTCCAATGAAGAGGACAAAAGTAACCTGCAGATCGCCTTCTATGTCTTACAGTTTGCTGCCTCCTACTTACTCTCTCTCTCTCTCTCTCTCTCTCTCTCTCTTCTCCCCCTTCTTTCTCCACCCCCTCGTTCTCCACCCCCCCTTTTTCTCCACCCCCTCGTTCTCCCACCCCCCTTTTTCTCCCCCCTACTTACGCTCTCTCTCACTTCTCCCCCTTCTCCCCCTTTCTTTCTCTCAACCCCTCGTTCTCCCCCCCCCCTTTTTCTCCCCCCTMCTTACTCTCTCTCTCTCCCTTCTTCCCCTTCCTTCTTTCTCTCACCCCCTCCTTCTCCCACCCCCCACCTCTCTCTCTCTCTCTCTTTCACAAGGGGAGGGGGAGGAAAGGACGAAGTCAGGTGGGGTTGCGACAGGCTGTCTCGTCGGAGTGTCACCAACACATCAGCAGAGGTGGGTTGTGACAGACAGACTATCCCTCGTTCTTTCTCTGTGATAATGACTATGTATATCTAATGTAATGTATATGTATAGTCGGACTGTCCACATACCTCACAATATCTACGGTGTCAAACAGAGCTGCCTACGGTAAACCGTAGACAGAGAGGGAGAAAGAGGACAGCAAACGAGGGAATGTGACAAGCTCTTTCGTCGAAGTTTCACCGACTCATCAGGAGGCTGAACTTACCCCCAAATCTGCCTCTCTCTCTCTCTCTTTATGTTTATCCTCGTCGCCGTTGTTGTCGGGCAGTAGTTGATGCTTGACCCCAACAACTGGGATTAAGGTGCATTATCACTTAAGAGTATCATCGGCTAGGGCACTCTGCAGACTCTGTCGAGGGTTCAGACCGCTAATTGGTTACCCGGGAAACTCTTGTAAACACTCTATGGGCGTCGCTGCACTACTTTCGAAATGTGCAAAACGAGAGTGAATCTTCCACTGGAATATGGAAAGATACAGCGACATGATTTTTGTCTTTTGTGCATTTCAAGAGTAGTGCAGCGAGGCCCTATATCACAGCTCCTGGCGCGTTTGTTGTCGTCTTCTCCCCTGTCTACCTGCGGCTCGCCGTGCAGTCCTGTCTGACAAGAAAGGTTGGCGTCACTACTCCTCCTGCCCCGCTAATTGCTTGATTGCCCTTGTCGGTTTTCTATGTCTATGTCTACTCCCTCTACGTATCTTGCATTGATTGCCTTTCTCCTGTTACGGTTGATTTGTGTTGCCGCCACCTATCTGTCTCCCATTTTGTCCTTCCTTCTCCCCCTCTGCCTCTCTCTCTCTCTCTCTTAAGCTGCGAAGGCTAGGGGAAATGGACAGTGATTGTCTGCTCTCTCTCTCTCTCTCCCTCTCCCTCTCGCTCTGTCTCTCTCGTTATCCCTCACACAATCTCTTCTCTTTATCCGTTTGCCTCCTTATCTCTTCTTTCCGTCTCCCATTTTGTCCCTCTCTCTCCCCCTCTTCCTCTCTCTCTCTCTGTCTCAAGCTGCGAAGGCTAGGGGAAATGGACTCTTTCTCTCTCTCTCTCCCTCTCTCTCTCTCCCTCTCGCTTTCGCTCTCTCTCTCGTTATCCCTCACACAATCTCTCCTCTTTATCCGATTGCCTCCTTATCTCTTCTCTCCATCTCATCTATTCTCTCTCATTTGTTGTTCCTGGGTAACTCACGGGACTCGAACCTACCTTCTTCCCTCGAATACAACGTACGGTCATTATAGCTGTATTTAGACTGAAAGATACCCCAAGTACAGCTGTAATGACCGAATACGTTGTATTCGGCGGAAGAACCTAAGACCCCATAATCTGCTTGAGCTGAACCATCTCTTCTTTCCATCTCCTCTCTTTTTTCCCATTTCATCTCTCTTTTCTTTCCATCTCTCTTTTTTCCCATTTCTTGCAATTTCTTCTCTGATCAGATGAGGTGTCCCGGTCATTCATCCCCTTCTTCTTTCTATTGCATTTGTTGTTCTCTCTCTCTCTCTCTCTCTTTCTCTCATACTGGAAATTTTCACTTTCCTTTTCTTGCTTTCCTTCTTTCTGTTGTCCTCACCTATCCCAGATTTTGGCTGAGTTCTTGATGTTTCTTCTTCTCCTCCGCCTCCTTTTTTTAATTATTTTTTTTCCCTTTTTCCATCCCATAATTGGTCTTTCGCTCTATTGCTGTACTTTATGGTCGAATCAGTTCCATTTCTATCTTCTAAGCCTGCGTTTTCTCCCGACTGCATCTGGTCGTTTTTTCCGTGAAAAGTACATACCGTCATCATAGCTGGATTGGGAGCAACTCTGAATCTAGGTACGTCAATTATGGTCGTGCATTCTATTTGGCTTGAAGACACCAGTTGTGGTGTTTTGTGGCTGATTCTGAGTCGTCCTTGGTTATGATTCCTGCGTTTGGTCTCTCCCTCTCTCCTTCTCTCTCTCTCTCTCTCTCTCTCTCTCTGGCTCTCTCCCCCCCCTCCCCCTCTCTCTGTCTCTCTCTCTCTCTCTTCCTTCTCTTGCCTATCAGGTGTTCAGTAGAATTGGGCCTGTGTCGCAAGCACCAGGCGGGCGAGGCAGGGGCAGGGGCAGAGGTAGAGGCAGAATGTATTCAGATCGGATAGTGGCGAATGCCAGAAGACGACGAGATCTTCAGTCGCGTCTTGGACCATCGCGTGATAATGGAATCAGAAAGAGGTATGTCTCCTCCCTACATCTCCTTCGCCACCACCTTCATCTCCATCTCCACCACCATGTCCGTCTCGAACTTCACCTCCATCCCTACCTCCATCTCCACCTTGACCTCCCTCTACCTATCATCTCCACCTTGACCTCCATCTCCATCCATTCCCAAATCCCATGGAATCAGAAAGAGGTATTGTCCGCTGTATCCATCTCCTTCTTCATCTGCATCTCCTTCTTCATCTGCATCTTCATCTCCATCTCCATCTCCATCTCCATCTCCATCTCCATCTCCTTGCCATCTGGATCTCTACCTCCATATATACCCCCACCTCCACCCCCACCCCCACCTCCACCTCCCCTATCGTGTGAGATAAGAAAGAGTTGTGTCCGCTCTCTTTACCTCCGCCTCAACCTCTCCTATCGTGTGATAATGGAATGAGAAAACGTTGTGTCCGCTGTCTCCACCTTCACCTCCTGCTCCTCCTCTCTCTCCCATTGTCCACCCTCACCCACCAATTTGCCTGCATGTCGCTTGGCCTGTATATCGTGTTTGTGTTCCGCATGCACCCATCAGCCTTTCGTGCCTTGTGTCGTTGTTGATCAACAAATCACTACCTTCTTCCCCGGAATAGAATGTCCTTATTAGGTCATTAAATGTCCTTATTAGGTCATTATAGCTGTGTATTTGGGGCCAGTTTCAGTCTAGATACAGCGATAATGATTGAGTTCTATTTGGGTGAAGATGGTTATCATGACCTGATGAAAAAAAAAGTCTACGTCAAGTTCTGCAGTCAGAAGAAGAAACACCTGTGACCGTTGGATTGAATTTCCGACGATCCAACAGACCAGCTGAAAAGGGTTTGGCGAATATAATACAATAATAAATAATAATTAATATAATTATAATATAATATATATCCCAGTAGCGCGAATTAAGAGATACTGACCGTAGATCGCAAAGATCAGCGGCCGAAATCTCCTGATTTGTGGACGTGCTCCACGCAGAGGTGCAGAAAAGTAGATCAATCACAATTTTTTGCACCTGTCCATAAACACGTCCAGATTCAGACATTTCTTCCAACCCTCTTTGCCATTGGGATCTGGCCCTTAGGCGACCTACCCGACCTAGGCGACCTACCTACAGCCTACACGATCCATGCAACCTGCCTACGGCCTGCCTACCGTAACGCTCTCTCTCTCCCCCCCCGCCCTCTCTCTCTCTCTCTCTCCCCTTTTCTTTCTCTCAGTGCTTGGTACTTCGTGCTTGGTCGTGTTTGGTTCGCGCATCGGTGCCACTTTTGTGCTACTTGGTGCTACTCCGTGCTTGGTTTGGTTTCGGTGCTACGTGCATTTGCGATTGGTTCGTGGGATCCGTGCTAAGTGCTAACTGCAATGGTGCTACGTGCATCGTGGAATCGGTGCTTGGTTCAGTCTGGCATAGTAGAACCTTTTTTTATGGAGTTGTGTAAAGTGAACATGACGTCACACACGCACGCAGATGCATCTTGGGCAGACTGTCGGGGTTCATCAACCTCCGATGAAACAGTCTGGACAGTCATGCTTCCTTTTTGACGTGCCCGAAGGCACGAGCGAGCGAGCGAGAGAGAGTATGTGAGAGAGAGAGAGAGAGAGAGAGAGAGAGAGAGAGAGAGAGAGAGAGAGAGAGAGAGAGAGAGAGAGAGCACCTGACCATGACAAACGCTGACAGATGAAGATGACGAGGAAGATGAAAGATAAGGAGCATGAGCATGATTTATGAGGACAAGGTAAGGTAATAATGACATCAAGCACCGATTGACGGAATGGAGTGGGTAAGGAAACACAAGCTGCTTCACGTGGGGAGGGTTGGGGGGGTGAGGGGCGTCACATGTCGCAGCCACGTGGCCGGATCGTTTATCCATTTTCATTCTTTTTAAAAGGGCCTTTACCCGATATAGGCCTCAGGCCTTGTAAAAATAGAGCAGCACGGGCCTTGTAAAAGTTAAGCATTGTGAAAAGGTATCTTGCCAGGGCTCAGAAACGTGAAAACAGGTCAAAAGTCAAGTTCTCTATCAACAGGCACATCTAAATCTAAGGCAAAGGGCATTGTCAAAAGACTTACCTGTTCACCAGGAGATGTGTATGTCATGTCCGTTCGAGTAAGGGTGTGTCTGTACGTGTAGGCAGTGTACCTGTTCGTGCAATGGAAAGTGCCTGTTCAAGTAGTAAATGAGTCTGTTCGTTTAGAGTTGTGCCTGTCCGAAAGTGAAGTCAGTAGGCACAGTCCCAGTTCTGGTCTAAGTCAAGGGGTCAGTCCAGATCCAGACT